ATGGTCTCTAAGAATCTCTAAGATCTAGCTTTTTTCAATTTTTCCAACCTAATCTTGTGACCTATACTTCTTGTTCATGAGGATCCAGTCATAATTGACTTCGTTAAAGATCTAATATTTGCAAATTGTTTTCTTCACTTTCCATATTCACTCAGAATGTTTTTGTTCTTGCTCAAGTTTACAGTTGTTAATCAACTTTTATCATTTCGTTTGAATAAATCTTCCTCTGTGGACTGCACTCTGAATCTCCCAAACTAAATCAGGACTTCCAGTTGTATTTTATTGCAGAATTATCCTGCTTTTTCAAAAATATAACTTTTAAAATATAGCTTATCACAGTTTACAATTATGTATCTGTGTAGCTGGTTTGTTTAATGTAGCCCTTTCCCCTAGACCAGATCTAGGAGCTCAGATACCATGTCTGTTTAGCGTAACACTACATCCCCAGCATCAGGCATGGTTTCTGGCATGCCATTCATTGGGTCTCAACTGTAGTCTTCTTCTTGTGGTTAAATGAGCAAATCAGACCAGAAGCAGTTACTCATGCCTGCACTTTCAGCACTTTGGGAGGTCAAGACAGGAGGATAGCTTGAGCCCAGGACTTCGAGACCAGCCTGAGCAACACAGTGAGATCTTGTCTCTACAAAAAAAAAAATAGCCATGCATGATGGCACATGCCTGTAGTCCTAGCCACTCAGGAGGTTGAGGTGAAAGGATCCTTGAGCCCAGGAGGTAGAGGCTGTAGTGAGCCATGCTCATGCCACTGCACTCCAGTTGGGGCAACAAGAACGAAGTGTTATAAATCAACTGGTAGAATTAATATTCCATTTAATTTCATCCTACTTTCCCTTCAGCAATTCTATAGTTGTTGTTTTGGCTCTGTATTCTTTTTCATTACTAGAATTTTTTCCATTGGTTACCTTACAATTTGGGGTTTATGATCCTTGAGACCCAGTAAGTATTTTCAGACATTGTAATTCCATACATTTGTATGTATAACCCCTTAAGTATGCCTTAATATTTATCAACTTCTATTCCATGATCGAAGTCATGTCATGCTAACTTATGATGATTATCTTAAAATCTACACTTAATGCGACTAACAAATAATGTATCTAACCCATTAGATTCATTCATCTAGATATTGCCTAATGGCTTCATCACAAGGAGATTCATTCCTTCCCTAATTATGGAAATTATGTTTTAGCTCAGGTACCGTGGACCAAAGAGCCTTGCTCAACTCTTCCAACACAATTATTTCCTACCACCAACTAAGCAAAGTGGCACATCCACTGACTAGCTGAGCAAGCCAGAATTAGCCTGCTTTCCAAAAGCCAGCAAAGTGGATCCCTCCTGGCACTCATTTTATGTGCCTAAAGAAAGCCTTCTGCAGGGGGACAGGAAATCTGTGACTGCACTACAGGGAATCCCAACTGAATATTGTCACATTCTCTCTACCCATTTATGAAGAGGCAGAGACTATAAGAAAATGTTGCCATCATTCTCATTCCCTTCTGAAACACGAAGAATAGCCGTGCCTCTGTATTTAATATTATACAATGGACTTTTCTCTCTTCACAGACTTATGATATGTCAGTTCAACTAGTTAAAAATTTTGACTAGGAAAGAAAATTATCCATTTGCATGCTAACCTTGTTTTTATTATTTAGCTGCATGTCATCTCTCAAGATGAGGGTTAGAACTACCAGAATTATGAGAAAACAGGGACTTTCACTAGGAGAAGGGTGAAAAAGAGAGATTTTCTTCAAAGCATATTGGTGCTGAAATAAACTAATTCCAAGAGCCAAAGAAAATTTACTTTGAGTTCCTCAGGGGTGCCATGACTTAGTAAATACCACTTGTCAAAATGCAGAATAGGTTAGAGCAATTCAGAGAAGCTGTTCTTGATATAAAAAGTGAATTAGTTGATAAAACATTACATTCAAAATAAATAAAAGAGTAATAGAGGAATGATGTGTAAGAGTGTGCAATTTTAAATCAAATGACCAGGTGAGGTCTCACTGAGAGTTCAGCATTCACGTAAATATCTGAAGGATGTCAGTTTACCAATCATTTTAAATTTGAGTGACTTATACTTAAGTAAATGAGGGACTTTCATAAATTTCAGAGCAATTACCCATATGGAAAGCTGCAATCAATTTGTTAACTCATTGTGATTATTATAACTTATTAACTTGTTGGTAAGTTGTCAAACAGGGTTTCTGGAATCATCTTAGTTCATGACCATCCAAGCATACCAGAGATTTGGAAATTGTCAAGTTAAAAAAGAGAGTGCTCAGGGGGCCAGTTAAGATGCAATTGCAACAGTATAAGCGAAAGAGAGAAAACTAAATGAAGACATTAACATTTTTCCAAAATGTAAGAGTGATCAGGTTTCAGAACCTTTTTTCTTTTTTTGGTAGTCTTTTCATTGTGGCTTACTGCCCTTAGGATAATGTCCAAACCTCTTCATTTGGTATTGCAATCCATTCAAAAACTGCCTCTTGCTAATTTCTTATTTATGGGTGTGTCTCTGTTCCCATAAAATTGTATTTTGAAAAATAGGTGGTGGGTCAAATTTGTTCCACAGTCAGTTGTTTCTCTACTCCTACCAGTTTATGTGGCTCCACCATCCTTAGTACATAGTTTCCTTTCTTAAGTTGTTCTACTTGTATAAGAAACTTCTGGATTTGCAGCCAACATGTCAACATTTTATGTAGGATGGTGGAGAGGAAAAAAAAATACCAAAAGGGCACTTGCCAGTTGTTCCCTCTAACAGAATTTTCCTATATGCCTCGGGAATATAGTCATTTAGATGAATATATTGTCACTCATTGAAATTAGGGTCCTCTTACCAGTGAAGCAGGGAAGAATGGATACTTGTTGGGTTTTTGGCAGTCTCTACCACACCTACAGACTTTAACCACCTGATGTCAGTTTCCCTATTTATCCAAAAGGGGAACTATTAGTACCTACCTCACAGAGTTATTTTGTGAAGATGGACTGCTCTAACCCAGGAATGTGATTAGGAGAGTGCCCTGCATACTGTAAACTCTCAGTAAAGCCAACATGTTATGGGAATTAGCATTATTTTCATCCTTTGTGTGTTTTGATCTTTGCTCTATCTCCAATGCCTGGAAAACTGTCTAACACATGCAAGATTCAACAAACATCCGAATGAATAAATGAGCTGCCATAATGATCAGTTAAAATTTTTGGATTGTAGGCCATAGAAACTGATTCCAGCTGACTAAATCCTTGAGTTGAAAAATTATTTAAAACATTTGTAATTAAAAAATTATGATTGTATATGTGTGTGTGTGTGTGTATATATATATATATGGTACTGTGATATATCTTGGTATTTGTATACATTTATTCTTTGATGAAAGAATATCACAAGCTTCTGCAATTGACAAGATGGCAGGAGAGTCAGGCTAAGACAGGAACAGGTATTCAATTATGTCTGTAATGATGTAGGTACAGACAGCTGCTTTCACCCTGTCCCTGAGTCACTCCATTCAGCATTTAAAGCCCCAGGAGACAGAGTGTCATGAGCCAATGTGACTGAATCATCTGCCTCCCTCTTGTTAGGAGAGTTCAGAACATGCTGTTTTATAGTCCCACCAAAACTGCTTATAACTGGAGAGAGGCAGAGAGGATGAAATCAGTGTGAAGGATGAACTCAGCATGAGGAAACTGGGTAGAAGACACACAGAACTATCCATCCCACGTTCCCATTCCTTTTGTTTGCATTACTTCCACAAACTGACACTTGTCCTTAGGGGAGAAATGAGACCAACAATTTGGCCCCTGTGAACACATGAGTATCATCATTTCCTCCCACTAAATAGCAAAATACCACCTTGCAACGCTGAGTGCAGGGACCCTGAATACATGAGACCAAAAAAGAACAGATTTTAAAGACAAGGATGACAGGATTTGACAGCGAGGTTCTGGAGTTGGTACTGAAAAACAGTGAAGACATACTGAAGAATGGCAAGGCACTAGGACAGACAAGCCTGTTCATAGAAGTACTGTAGGCTTTACATAACATCTGGCTAGGGATACCATTTTGTAAACTAAGTGATTATTTCTAAAAACTTCATTTTCTGTAAAGATCATAGTGCCAGTCTGGTTGATTACTGAACAATTGATTATAGTCTCTGACAAAAATGTTGAAACCAGATGGTTTTTCACTTTGTTTGCCTTTGCAGATATTGCCAGTGAATGCAGGTCCATGACAACCTAGAGATTTATTTTAAAGCATGATTCATGATAGAATCATCTACTATCATGACACGGGTCTTTCAGACATTTAGGATTGCTTTAATCTGGCATTTTAAAATATTACAAAACTAAAACTTTTCTCTTTATTTAATTGTGAGAAAAATTTTTTATGACTTTCCAAAATTGATTTGCATGATTGCACATATATATTGTAGAAGACAATTCCAAGCAATTGTTGAAAGCCCATATTGCAAACCAGCAAATTGTATGTACAGGGATTTATAGAGCTTATTTTACCTTTCTTTAATGATTTGGGTCTAGATTTTATCTTACATATAAAATTTTTATATGACATATAAAATCTAGCCATGATTTTTTACAGAGAGAAAGGAAAAAGGTAAATTAAATCAAGCATCAAATCTAGATGATACTAAAGAACTGGTGGATTCAGACTGATAAGAATAATACTCTTGTCTGATCTTGGAAAGTGGAGTTTATAAAACTGAACACAAAAATTTGCTTTACTTTGTAGAATTTTCTTCACAGTTTGTACTCTTAATTATATCTATTTATATGATTTTTTATTAGGCAATAAGAATACAATGCCATTAAAATGAATGAACAATTAAAGATTGAATATTCCACAAAATAAAATAATTTTGAAATACATTATTTAGGAATTAAAAATCCTTGACATTTTACACCTTGACAATTTTTTTCTTCTGTGCAATAATGTTAATCTGCTGATCTTTTTGTTGTTCTTTTTGCAGTTCGTTAACACATTATTGAAACTACAAACATCCACAGCAGTTCATGTGGGCAGATTGCATATTTTGAAAGCTTGAAGTATTTTATCATGAAACATACCATGTGGAATCTTTGAAGCGTAGAGCTCTGCGCAACACCTGGATAAAGACCGCCCTCACCTGGTATGTGAGAGAGCTCCTCTCCACCACCATGACAAACCAGGAAAAGTGGGCCCACCTCAGCCCTTCAGAGTTTTCCCAACTTCAGAAATATGCTGAGTGTAAGTATTCATATTAATGTGTTAATCAAGGTATCACTTATTTAAAGAACAAATCATAGATACTATCATCATGCAGGTGTTTCTTTTCTGTTACAAGTAGGTCGACTTAAGTCTATCTTTTTTACATGAAAGAGGGGAAAAGGTAAATCAAGCATCAAATCTAGGATTAAACGGACTAAGATCTTAGATGTAAAACTAAGCTTGGAAAATATTCCAGCTATAGTAGAATTATAGCACAGGATGAGACAGACTGGCAAAATGGAGACTGGTAATACTGTCATAGACAAGGAGAAGGACAGACAGGAGCATAAAGATGGTGACGAGAAAGGAAAAGAAAGAGGGAAAAAGCAATGTTATACTTGACTCAGTGTGGCCTGGCTCATCCAGAACAGTAGGGAAAAAGTGAGGGGTGTGTGAGTGTGAATGTTTTCTGTTTATTAATCTGTCATTTCCAGAAGGACTGAGCGTAGGGACTCATGGATACATTGTGGAATTAGAATGAAGGTTTGTAAAAGAAAATGGTATCAGGATCCGGCCAACTTGTTTAGCGTGAGCATTAGTATAAATGATATGTGTGATTATTCTCTTCTGGTAGGTTAATTTAAATTATTGTTTCTTTACATATGTTCAGTGAGATTTTGTTTAAAAGAAATGTGATTTTACTATAGATTTTCAGTAATATGTCTATTTCACAGAATGACATTCAACTATAAATATGAACAACAGCTGCATCAAGCTATCACAGAAAGAATATAAAGCAACTACTAAATAAAAGGCACAAAAAGACTTGGGAAATGAGTAGAGCAAAAGTAATACATAGAGAATGTAAAGAAAATGGTGAAAGTGGAGGGAGTGATATGGTGAGTGGGAGAATAAAATGCAAGAAGCGGAAGAGGGGAAACAAGAAAACAAGAATTCATAATAGTGAAAGAGATAAAAATGGAAACATCTGGAGATTATGCAGAAAAATGCTGTGGCAAATAGGAGATGTGTATCAGGAATGAATTGAATAATATTATTAAAGAGAAGCAGAGAAAAAAATTAAACCCAGAATTGAGAATTGAAATATGAAAAAATAGAGGTGATGATAGTAGTGAATGCCAATGTTCACACATATATGGTCCTATAATAAGTCAGGAACACTAATAAAGACTTCATGTATATTATCTAAAAAAAAAATTTTGAAAATATTATTATCTGGTGGCTGAGTGGGAGTGGTGAGAATGCTGGGTATTTGTATGGAAATTCCAAATCTATAAATTACGTGTGCATTTTCTTAGTCAGTAATAATAAAATTATATTTACCATCTTGTTGGGGAGGGTCTGAAATTTTTTATATCAAAATATGGTTTCCATAGACAAAACTATTTAGGCCCACTGCATGCACAATTTATTCATTGATGATATTAAGAAAATTTAGTCCCCAAATTGCCAAATTCTTATGCTCTGTACTTTCTAAATTGATTCAAAATGATTTGTCTACGCAAGTTCTTTGCTGTTCTGGTATATTCAATCATTCAGTAAATCTTTCTGAGCATCTTATATAGGGAGGGTATTTTGTTTGGTGCTGCAGCAAATGCAAAATATGAAGAGATATGGGCCCTTCCTTGAAACAATTTACAGTTTAATGAAGGTTAGAAACTATTGGATGAATAATTATCTATCTAGAGAGAATATTGTAAGTGCCCCAAGCAAAACTGGAGTTTATTTCGGATTTTAGTATTCACTTGGAGATAGGAAAAGAAAGGGAAGTGTTCATAGAAGAAGTAGGATTTGTAGTTAATCTTGAAAAATAGTTTAAAGGTCAATGACAAAGAAAATGGTATGGATGAAGAGGAAAATTAGCATTTATTTGAGGAAGGGAGGTGAGCCACATTTAGCTATCACAAATTAAGGGAGTAGGTGGAGTTAAGGCAGTAAACATGAAATGAGATCAAAATAGACAACACTTACCTTGAGTCAAGCAGTGAAGTGTCATCAGGCCAGTATGGCCAGTTAGCAGGCTATTGGAATAGACTACATAATGTGGATTGTGAAAGATGACTAGAAAAGTGGGGATTTAGATATTGTAACATTAAAACTAACTTATTAGAATTGGCAGAGACACACACAATAATAGAGAGAGAGAATGAGAGAAAGATTTAAGTTATTTTGAATTGGGCTTGATTATTAAAATATATTTTAAAGTGTCTGGGTACTTTTAAGAAACATTCCTGCTAGTATTACAGAAAACATTGATATAAAATAGGTAAATTATTGCTATCATAGCAAAAATATTATTTATAATTACTGTTGCTCAGATGTGGAAATTTCTGGTAATCATAAAGTTATTTCTACTAAAATGTTAAATGTATTATAGGCTGCTACAAATATTTCAATGGCTAAGGAATATAGGGGTACAATTAATTATACCATAAGAATGCTTGAATTTGTAATCAATTTGTGGAAATGCCTAAAACAAGTAGAAATAAAAATGATCATAAATGTAAAAATTATAGCATATTGAGACAAAGATTAATGCATGTTCAATAAGTCGGTAGTATGAAGTGACATAGTGAGTGTAAGAACATTATTAAAATGGATTTTATGAGAAGACAAATGAACAGATTAACTGTGAATTAAAAAAAAATAGTGCCAATTCCAGGATTATCACACTTGCTGTTCTTTTTCAAATAACCAAGACAACATGAAAAGTACTCACTACTCCAAGGATTTTCCGGTATAATTAGGAAGCAAAGACTATCCCTATTAGAATGCATTCTTGTGGAATAAATTACTGTTGCCAAAATATAACTGGAAACAAATTTATCATCCTGAAGATTATAAAAGTAGTACATTTCCCATGCTGTTCAGTACATGCTCAGTTTATCAGAAGCATTTAACGATTAGAGTTTGCACATTGCATGCAATATTGGCAAAGTGACATTCATCCATACTCTATTAGAAAAGTAGTATGCTAAAGTCCTTTTCTTGATTTTGTTTTGTGTCTTTTGAAAATAAATTGTTGACTGGCTTGGAGGCTCAGGCCTGTAATTCGAGCATTTGGGAGGCCAAGTTTGGAGGAGCACTCAGGGCTAGGAGTTCTAGACCAACCTGAGCTGAGCAACACAGTGAGACCCCATCTGTGCAAAAAATAAAAAGTATTTATATGTATTAAATAGTACATTTTTAAAAATCAAGTTATTGATATAAAGTTAAATTTGCAACATACAAAGATTATACAAGGTAAATGTCAAACAAGTGGGGTGTTTTTGTTGTTTTTGTTTTCGCTTTTCTGGAATGGGATGTGCCTGTGGAACCGTTGGGCAAGATAAATGAGATAATAGACCTCTACCCCAGCAAAGCCAAATCATTCAGTGCTGGAATCAGAGAATACCATAAAGGTCATTTCCTCAAGTCACTCATCTGATTTTGGATTCTTTCCATAATCACCACAATATACCCTGTAACTATGATTGTTCTCCTAGCTGCAAGGCTTTTCTCAAGATTAATTGAAGGTAAATAGGGTGATTCTTGACACAACATTCCTGACTAGGCAGTTAGCACACCACACAGCTTGTGTGTTCAAATCCTGGTCTCATTATACTTCAGATATCTGACTTTGGGATACTTCCTTAAGCTATCTGTGTCTTATTTTTTGTACTTGTCAAATACAGGAAAAAATACATCCAGTGTTGTATTAAATGGAATGAATTAATCTATGTGAAGCAATGAGAGCAGTGCCTGGCAAATTGTTAGTGGTATGACTGTTTATAATTATCATCTTGATAGAAAGGGAGTGAGTGTGTTCTGTTAGCTGTTTGGACATATTGTTGATGATCAAATAGAAAAAAAGCCACATTTTGGAGCATGAAGAGTCGATGTCTGTTTTTCTGCCACAAAACTAGCTTCTCCTCACAAGGTAGAAGCTTCTGGTGCTGTTGGCAGCCTCAGTTCTGTGTTGTCCCCACAAATGCTGAAGGCAGCTGATGTAAAGCTTGCTGTGGCTGCCTACAGCATGCTGTGACCGTGCTGCTGTTTAGGGTTTCAGACTGAGTCACTCCATGGGAAGCATTTCCATTGATATGTAGGAGGGGAATATAATTTTCCTCTCCACTCTTTATATAAAGCCATCCAAACTGTTGTTATAAGACAGAAGCTCTCAGTCCTGCCGTGTTGAGAATTGAGCTTACCACCTTATCGGTGTGTCAGTGCTTCCTGTCCGGTTCCAATGGTACTGCAAAGGGTTAAGAAACTCCAAGTCTTTTCATGGATAACAATATTTTCGATGTAAAGATCTACATGATATTTTCAAGTGATTCATTATCTGCCCACATATTGTCACTAAGGATTAGCTTTTTATTTGCTACATATAAAGTGTGTTATATAGCATGTAAATTATTTTTGAAAAAGACTGTGTTATTATGGTGGGAACATTTCCAAACTTTTATATATTTCATACTGTTTATAGCAGCTGGCATTGTAAAGAGTTGCAAAATTGTGGTAAATTTGTTCCTTTCAAGAAGGACCAATGTGCCCAATGTTCGGACCTAACGTGTAATCCCTTCCATTGGAGAGAGGCATGTGGCGTGGCTTAGTGGAAAGAGCCTTGGCTTTGCAGCCAAACTAGTATTTGACATTGTAGAATCCCAGCTCTGTCCTCTGCTTATTAGCGGTATGTCATTTAGAATGTTACATAAACTAACTGAACTTCAGCTTTCTCACCTGAAAAAGCAGAATCCCACCTCAAAACATTGTGGGATTTAAGGAAACAACAACCAGCATCATAATAAATAATGGCTTTGTAGTGCCCTATTATATATGATATACAAGCATTCATTCATTGAATCCTCATAGTAAGTCTCAGAGGAAGACAAATTATTGTTCTTTCAGATTAACTGGACCAGAATTGTGACACAATAAGTGATAACAAAGGTCAAAACAGTAATAATGTGTTTCTTATGAAGCTTGATATATTAATAGCTAGGTTATTTGTCATGATTGCAAAATAGAGAAAGTTA